ATATATATATATATATATATATATATATATATATATATATATATATATATATATATATATATATATATATATATATATATATATATATATACCAGTTTATAAGAAATATCCAATTCTTTTGACTCGATGTCCGAACTCATGACACGAAGTCTATCTTTCGACAAGTCGACCAATCATTCGACATGATATTCTTTGGCTCAACGTTAGATTCTGCTTCTATGATTCAAATCTAAGATCGAAGTTTTTCCTACGTCATTTATCTTAAACACATATTAGTTCATAACTTTATTAATTAATTTTATCATCAAAATTCAAGATTAAACACGGCTTTCAAAACAATTATCACCAACACTATCATAAAATGTTAAGATCACTAGGCATATGATATTTACCAATAGATTAACCCATAGATATATAACCAAGTCTTTTAAGTTAGATAAAAAAAATAACCACCTCTTATACTTTGAATAAAATTGGCATAAAATAAGTAAGAATTTGGATTCCCGAATTATATAATAGCATGAATACATTAAGAGTGAAAAATTATTATTTGGATTTCTAATGTTAAAAAAATTACAAACAAGCATGAATCTTCTCAAAATTTCTTTTTAAAACTTGCCTAAAATAGAGTGATCCATTTAGATTGTTTATCAGTAACATGCACATTCGAGCTAGACTTTTTCTTTTTATCATAAAGCTATGCCTAATTTTATTATACTTTTAAGTTTATTTTATAAAAAGAAAACTATATATTACTTAATCACCAAATATATCTTAGTTCTCAATAAGTCCAAAAGCTCTGAAGGTAAACCATCTCCCCACCATACATCAGATCTGATAAAGTTTGCCACTTTATTTCCTTCTCTAAAAATATGTGTAATAGAATAGACACTAAAAAAGAATTCCAAAATACAAATAATATTCTTGACCACATTCAACTTAGGAAATCATTAGGAGGGGTGGCAAGGGAAAATGATAACTTTCTCATCCCAAGTCTCTTAAAATGATGAAAATGAAAAGAATTTACTTAAAATTAGATCATCATAGGCAAGGCCTTTGTTCCCTTGGCTTAATCATAGAAGTATTGAGAGCCTAATACTTTGATAAAAGGGATAAAAAAATTTATTTGAAATAACTATAAGAATTTTATTAATCTATACATCTTGTTAGGAGATATATCTATTTTTATATAAGAAAAATAAATTTATCATATTTAAAATGTAAAAAGCTATCATCCACCTTCAGTGGCATCAATGAGAAAAGATGCTAGAAAAAGATATCAGTACAACTTGTAAAAAGATATCCTACATCCACTTACTATGTAGTCGATAAATTTTTGATATACAAAGTCTATTTATCAAATATTAACATTAAGGGTATGAAATATAATCTAATAATTCTTACACCTAATATTATTAGTTTAGTGATTATATATATCAGACTCACTCATCAATAAATCATCAGAACATCGCCGGAAGAAATCTAGATTTATCGAACTTATTTAGCTCAGTGTATGTCTTCAAATTTGTAGTTAGCACATAATTGGGTTAGAATTGGGTCAACTCAATTAGGGGTCAATTAGGTCTAAGTTTGGACTATGTTGGGCTAAATGAAAGACTCAAATAGTGACCCAACAGGTGGAACCATCATGACACAATCTTCGAGACTATGTCAGGCAATGATATCGCCAGTCTGGATAGTGGTACGATCCAGACTCAATCTCCGAGACTGTTAGGCGATGGTACCACCTAGCACAAACAATGGTACCGTTAGAACCCGAGAAACCTGGGATAATCTTTTTATGCTCCAAGTTTGAATCCATTTGAGGCCTATAAATATCCCTCTTTGGTTAACATACACACAACTAAGAGCAAAAGAAAAGAAAACACTATTGTAATCTTATGTGAACTTCTCTCAAACTCCAAGTGTTAGTCTTATTTAAGAGAGGAGTGAAAGAGGTTGTAAAGGTTCTCTCCTGAATCTTGTTGTAAACGTAGTTGATCTTCGCCCATTGAAGGAAGATCATTAGTGAATACTGGTGGCCTCGACAGAAGAGGAATCGATGGAGTGGATGTAGGTCACGACGACCGAACCACTATAAATTGGTTTGCATTTCATTTTGAGTAATTTACCTTTACTGCAAACTGCTTTACCTTCTTATTGCTTTCACTACACTCCCATACTCTTTCAAGTTAATATATTTATGAAACAATTTTCGTCGGAATCAAATTTTTATCGTACGAAGATTTTCAAACCAACGTACTTTTTTCGCTGCACTAATTCACCCCCCCCCCTCTTAGTGTCGACTCGATCCTAACAATTACAACTTATAAAAAGATACCCTACATCCACTTACTATGTCATTGATAAAAATTTTTATATACAAAGACTATTTACCAAATATTAACATTAAGGATATGAAATATCATCCAATAATTCTTACACCTAATATTATTAGTCTAGTGATAATATATATCAGACTCACCCATCAAAAGTTAAAGATTTAAAATATTATTATAATAATTTATGTATAAGTTATTACTATTTACAAATTTTACATATAAAATATTTATATATCAAACTTACTTATCGAAGATTAGGAGTTCAAAACCTTATCTGAAATTTTTTTTTAATGTTCTATCTGACTTAACTAGTAAAGAGTTTATTATATTACGGATGAATACCCACCTTTATCATTTATCCATTATAAAATCATACAAACTCAATGAAATATTAGAGAACTGAGTCCATATTGAAATATTTTTACAACAAAGCTTGATTCCGCAACCTGCATTTACTATTTATTTGTTAAAAATAATCTACAAATTAGATAAAATATTAGACATCGAAATATGTATCAAAGAGTATTTCCTTCAACAAAGGTTGAAAGTTTGGATGCATCAAATATTAAACTTCTTTAAAATATTCTCACTGAAATAAACATAAAATAAGGGAAAAAAACTATGTTCCATATCCATGACAAGAGAGGGAGAACACATCATCCAAGCAGAAAAATTATAATCTTCAAAAATCACAAGATCATGAGAATAATGTTATTGGAAAATCTCCTAATAATTTTACTCATGAGTATCCTTTTCCATGAAACTCTAACAAAAGGTTCATGCCATGAGGTAAACCGTTCCTCTTTAGATGAGTTTGAAGGCCTTTAAAGGATTTACAAATGAGGAGTTGAGGCTAAAAAAAAAAAAAAGGCTACAAAATATCCATCTCCAAAAGTTATGAGAATACTAATACAAGAAAAACCAAAAGAACTCATATAAAGAACTATAATATTTTTTTTACAAAATTCAACCAAAAGACCTATTCAGATCATTTTGGATAGTTACATACAGATCATGAAGGAACTGATCTTCTCATACAATAAATAGAAAGCTTATCAAATCTGGATTTGGTGACAGTCCAGTGTGCTGCTAAATTACATTCTCTAAAACAGTGTAAAATGGCATGGGAATTAAGCTATAACGATTGATGTTTGATGCTAGCAATTGAATGCTTGATTAGCCATAGGGTTTGCTCATTTGATTTGAGTAGGTTTACTAATAATGTGATGGAGTCTCATCCCAATTTGTAAATTGTGGTAACCATTGTCGAGTGCATATTGGAGTCCCAATTCTACAGCTTTTGCTTCACATTATAGTGCTAAGCTGCTGCATATTTACCCAAGTCCAACTGCTCTACATCTTCCATGAAGAATAAAAGTCAGTTCCTCCATCCTACAAAGAAAAAGATTCAATGTTTAATTTAAACCAGCCTATAGGAGATTCCTGTCATTAATTCTACAGCTTTTGCTTCACACTGCAGTGCTAAGATGCTGTATATATTTAGTCATATGTATCAAAATTTCGAGCTCATTCGATACGACTCAGTATAAAAATATCGAGCGATATATTTCAGTATATCACTCGATATATATATATATATATATATATATATATATATATATATATATATATATAAATAAAATGATGTTTCTACTCGTGTGAGGAGAAAGAGGTTCTTTCTCCTCCATGCTACAAAAAAAGGGAAAGGCTAAGTTGCTCGATTTTCCCACGTAAAGAAAAAAAAAAAGAAGAGAAAGACGATGTCACCTCAGTTTCCTCGTACAAAAAAAGAGAAAGGGAAAAATGATGTCTCCTTGGTTTCCTCATGCAAAAAAAAAAAAGGGAAAAGACTATGTGACTCAGTTTTCTCGTGAAAAAAAAGGGGAAAGACGACGTCGCCTCGGTTTTTCCTCGTAAAAAAAAAAAAAAGACTATGCCTCACTCGGTTTCTTCTATTGGGGAGAAGAAATCACTTTTTCCCGCGATGTCATCGAGGCTTCGTCGTCATGCCGGATCTCTAGGTTTTCTTTTTTTTCCTCCATCTTTTTTCTTCTTCGTCACCAACCTCTTTCTTCTCCCTCTTCTTTCTTCTTCATCATCGATCAATTTAGGAACAAAAATAATCGCAATCGAT